TTTCTTCTCTCTCTCTCTCTCTCTCTCTCTCTCTCCATCTATAATATAATTAGTTTTATAATATTACAATATAGAATTATTCGAAATCAATGAAATAAATTTTAAAGAACAGGATAATAGATGATGTTACTCGATAAACAAAATCTTAAGTGTCTAATTTTTTATTTTTGAATTTATAAATTTAACACAATTATTCGGGACATGCCGTTATTTTTAATAAACTTGCAAAATAATAGCTCAAAGCTCTAGCTCTAGCCCTTTTTCTTCACGAAAAAAATTTTTACTGCGAAAAATATTATCACATGCTTCAATAGTCGAATGTTCTAAGACAGCAAGTTGATAGTAAGTTCTTAAGATCTGATCTGCTATCTGCAGGTTTTATTATGGATGTACGTTATCATACCTAGTGTAGCATATCACAGACATATCTATGTATAAAATGGTTGGAACAAATATAACAAAGAACGGTTCATCTCAGAAACTTATTCTAAGTATGCGCCATCCAATTAAAACATGAGAGTACTGGTATCGACGATTTAAAAGTGGTGATTTGAAAGACAAAGAACATTCAGGTCAACTAAAGAAGTTTGAAGATGCCGAATTGCAGGCATTGTTAGATAGAAAACTCAGTTCAAATGCTTAAAGAATTAGCTAAAGCATTAAACGTTACTGAATCAACGGTTTCTAATCGTTTACACGCAATGGAAAAGATTCAAAAAGAAGGCAAATGAGTTCCACATGAATTGTCTGAATTAGTTATTCAAAATTGTTTAAATAGATGTGTATTTTTGCAAAAAAATCCCTCAGAACTAATCACCTAATACAATACATGTCGCGTGTCGTGATAATATTTTGCGCGATAAGAGATTTCCATGAAGAGAAGAAAATTGATTTCATTATCGATTTAGTAAAATAATTCAGCAATAGCTTTGAGCTACTACATTGCAAGTTCATTAAATAATGGCACGTAATTCGGGATATAAGTAATTGTTTTGAATTTATAAATATAAATTAAAAAAAAGTAAATTAATTAATAATGGGCTCTTTGGAATGAACTCTTCGAAAGCAATAAACTAACAAAGGACAAATGAAAGTTAAGTCTAAAATTAAAGTTAAGTCTAAAATTAAATTTTATGTAAATAAATTATCAATAAGAAAAATTATTAAATACCTAAAATCCTGTCTACCATCATAATACTATCTATTATTCTGTTCTTTGTTGTAATCTTAAACAGTAGAAAAAACCGCATACAATATATAACGAATAATACCCATTTAATATATAAATAGAAATAAAGATAGAGAATAGAGATTTATTTTCTTAGTATTATTTTTATTTTTAATTTTTTTTAAATAATAAAAATTAGAAAAAGATATAAAGTAAATAAAATTAAGAGTAAAGTTAATCTACATTGATAGAAATAGATTTAAAAAAAATTGTACATGTATGCATACATATGTGAATGCATTACAATAAATATCAAATAAAAATAATTATGAATTGTATATAATAAATTAATAGCAAACAAAATAACAAATATTCTTAAAAATCTATAACTATATAATTATTATAATATACAATTTATAAACATATAATTATTATATTACTTAAACTTGTAATCAGTAATTTCAACGTTTTTAACGATTATATGTATGTAATTTTCTTATCAATAATCAATTGAATTAATTTAATTAACAATAATGAATAGCATTTAATTACTATTTTTATAAAATAATAAAACTGACAGAATAATAAGTGAATTTATTTTGTTTTCTTTTAGGCAAAAGAAAAGAACATATAAGAGGGAAAGACACAAAAGTGGCTGTTAGTAGTTGTGCGTCACCGTCCGTAAAACGAAATAAACTTGATAAATCGTCGCAAGAAATTTTAACAAGAAGGAGTTCCACTCGATTGCGTAAATAATTTTTTATTTGTAAAATTAAAATATTTAATGGGAAAATAATTTTGATAAGAATTAAATTGTTTTATAATTAGTAATAAGAGTATAATAGAATAGTAATAAAATATTAATTAAAATATTAAGTAATAATAATAATAATATTTATGAAAAATTAATATTTTTATGAATTAACGATATTTTTACAAATTATACTAGGATATATAATTATAATTAAAAATAAAAGAAAAATAAAGGAAATTAAAAAAAGTTTTGAAAATTAATTAATTTAATTAAATTGAAAATTAATTAAATTTAAATAACATAAGAAGTAATGATAGCAAAACAACATCATCATTAATTAATTCTTTGAAAAACACATTTTTATGTTTTTTGAATTATTTATAATGTATTTGAAAAGAAATTTTAAAAATTCAAAATTTCAATTTTATTTTTAAAGTTTCTTTTTATAAAACTTATATATAAATTTTACATAAATTTTTAAAATATAAAACGTAATATTTACGTAATATTTATTTAAATTTATAGCTTTCTAACTTTACTATTTCTTCACATGCAGTTTCATTAATGTAAAAAAATCGTTTTCTATCTTACTTTATTAAATAATAAGAAATTAATAATTTTATCCATAATAATTAACGAAATAATATACAGAGATACTCGAAAATAATTATCAATTAAGTTAATCGGAGCTTAATCGAAAGTAAGCCGTCACATATGAATGTTAAATGACCATAATATCACTATTCGCTTAAAGTCACTAAATTGATAAAGTACCGCAAACTATAGACACAAGGCCTGTTCTTTTTGGCTAAACTGGTTATATTAGTTATACTAGTTATACTAGTTATACTAGTTATACTGGTTATACTAGTTCACTTTGGAAGAAGAAAGATAAATTCTGAACTGTGCAGGCAGTCAGCCAAAAAGAACAGATCCAATGTGTACATGAAAGTACATTATGTGCGGGAGCATCCCGTTTGACCACGTTGCAATTCGACACAGCGACTTACAGACCGATGTCTGGAGATTTTCTACTAGATCAACCAATCAAATAATTTTATTTTAAATTGGCCAATCGGCAACGTGGGCAATCAGACGGCACCCTTATGTGCACTTTCCGCCATATTAACTCCAAATGCAAGGAATTATACGACATTGCCACAGTACACAGTAGTGCAACTCTCTGTCGATACCTTTGATGTTAGTAAAGTCAAAATCACAGCGCGCATGCGCAAGTTGAGGCACTTTATACAATAACGTCATCTGAATTTCTCTCTTGCTTATTCTTGCATCTTGTCTTTATGCTCTCTTTTTAATTGTTACATTAAAGAAATCGGACTTATAAATAAGTGTAAAATTATCATATAATACATATATATTTGTTATATGTAAAAAAAAGCAGTCTTAAAAAATAATATATATATTATGTTTTTAAAAAATAAATATATAGATAAAAAATATCTAATAATATTAATTTATAACAAATTAAGATCTAGTAGCTAAGATTTGTATGGTATTCAA